ACAGCCCTACAACAGCGCTACAGCACTGCTACAGCCAGCAAAAACGCGTACTGTCGAGAGGTAGTCTGTGTGTGCGTGCGTGTATGTGTGTGTGTTCGGAATCGAATACATTTTGCCACCCACTTTCATCTCAGCAACCAGGAAAGCTGGGAGGCTGAAATTTTAGGTATATGTTCCTACTCCATGTGAAACCCTCCTGTTTCAAAATCTTTTCCCACATGTGCCTAGACTCCGTGTACGGAACCCCGGAAAAAATGTGCAAATTTCTTTGGCGGGAAACGATTTTGTGGGCCAAGCAAGGTACAAAGCTGAAACTTTGCAGAAATATTCCCTGTATACTTACGAGCTAAATGTTTTAAAATCAGCTGTCGCGCACGCTTGTGCAACGCGTACGATCACATCAAAGTTTGTAACTTGATACCGTGCTAACTCGAAAACTTTCCACAAAATAGCGGCTGAAATTTTATCGGCTTGTTTATTGCCCACATGGGAAATAGTACACCTAAAATGATTTCCGTTTTGCACTTGCGTCACGACTTGGGACACTTCAAAAATATTTGTAGCGAAGTGGATATTTCGTTTACCGAATAAGCTGCGAGGCTGAAAATTCGCTGGAATATTCTACTTTCAAGTGCGGTATTAGTTCTGCTTGGAGATGAAATTCCCTACAGGTGGGTTTGAGAAATACTCAACTTTACCGAAAAACCAGAAACGATTGCGTTTTGCAGCGAACGACCAGCCTCATCCAAATATGTAAATAAACATTCAGTTCACTAGCATACTTGAATTTTTTGACAAACGACCGCTGTAGCTACACTTCCACTTTTTAGTGAACTGCAAATTTGCCTTTTTTCAAAAAGCGACAATTTACTGAAAAACGATCGGGCTTCATGCAAAAAACTGGTTAATAATATACCTGGAGGTCCAAGCCGCTCTATAATGCAACACCCTCATTTCAACCGATGCCCATTCTGCTGCATGCCGGAAGAAACCAAAGCACGGCCAGCATGAGTCCAAGTGTTAGGCTGCAGCTCAGGGATCATTCCTGCTATTAGCGATCCACGGGTTTAGCACAAAAACGCATGATCGCATCGGTAAGCCTGGTGCACTTCAACCTATGTTTTTGCTTTTGATTGTCTTCATTTCTCAAAGAAGTGAAATGTGTGTCTCTGTACATATATTCTGAGGCAGTGAAAGCAAGAAAGAGGGTCCTGGTGG